TTACCACTTTCCATCAGGTGGGCCGTCAGCTTGTTTGCCATTCTAAGTTGTATAAAAAAAAAAGTACTTTTAGTCTAAAAGCATTAAATATTTGAGATAGAGTTAAAATAATTTTAACTGTACTGATTCATTCAAGTACGAACTAAATGTTTGCCATCACTAGTATCGTGAAATAATGGTACAATATAGTTCGTGTGACGGCCGCGCGGCGCCGCTGCGCATCACAAAAAAATAAATAAAACGATAATGCGTCTAATACTACTACTCGCCACATGTGTGTACGATCGTGTATTTATTTATTTATTTATTATCCTACTCGGTCCGATATGAATCAAATGTATCTTTGGAGGTGACGTCACTGGCATGACGTCATAATGAAGTAACGTGAGCGTTGAGTCAAAAGTTTAAACTAATAAACAGGGATTACGACTCCTAAGCGGTATTTATTGAACATAGACACGGGCAGCATAGAATTATAGAGACATTCATTATCGTCATCCCTTATTGGTGATCTGCCAGTGTATACCGACAGCGCAGACGTAGTTACCACTCCATTATCACCCATTAAAACATCTCCGTGATATCTTACCCTTCAAATTTTTTAATGAGGAGTTTCGCGACTGACATTTGTCCACAGCAGAATATCAGTATTTTGCTCTTTTAAGGGCAAAGCAATAAACTGAGTTGTGACCGTTTTATGTTACTATGGCATACGTATGAAGGAAGGGAAAGAAGGGAGATTGTTAGTTTATATATTTTGTTTTTTTTTTTTATTTTGTGCTTTTTTATTTTCATTCTTTTATCTCTTTTGCTGTGTATTACGTGTATGTTTTTTTTTTATTGTTTTTTGTGTGCTGTAAGTAATGTAAATAAATTATCTATCTATCTATCTATCAAATCGAAACACAGCTGTTTTATGGATGGAACAGAGATTTTTTGTACGTACATATATTGTTCTATATGTTTATTTATTTTAAATTGTTGCTATTTCTCTAAATTTTTTTTTTTATATCTATGCAGCACCGCCATTTACTTTCTCTCTGTTTATCGTAACGGTTGACTGGTAGAGAATGCCATCAGGCATTAAGTCCGCCCTGTAGACATGTTCTAATGTTTGCAAAACTATAAATAAATAAATAAGATAAAAACATATCAGTAACATATTTTTTTTAAGTTAACTTAGATAATTCTGCCATATATGGTTTACAATGTAATAGTTTAAATAGATTTGTATTGGTAGAGGATTTTAAATTTTACGAATAAGTTAATAATATTTAGTAACCTGTTTGATTAAACACAAGATAATTAGTAAAGTGCATACAAGAGCATTGCACGTATGTTTGCACAATGACTAATCTAAAATCTGGAGAGCTTGGGCTGTAACAGACAAAACAGTGCGGCCGAGTGTCGTAAAAGCATTAACAGGCCAGTCTAAACAAAGGATAAAACAATAGGATGAAGTCATGCAGCCATGAGTCGCGAGCCACGGTGCACCATCGCGGTATAATGGAATCGCTTTACAACTAAAGATTGTGTTTCACAAAAAAAAAAACCGACTCCAATTGTGAGCAAACCAGTTTTTTTGGTTTAAAAATTAAACTATTTCCAGCAGCAGTATTTCGAAACTGATACGACATCAAAACCTTCAAGAGTATATTCCTTTTTAAAAGGCCCGCAACACACCTGCTATGCCGTTGGTGTTGTGGGTGATCATGGGCGGCGGTAGTCACTTACCATCAGGTGAGCCGCATGCGCGTTTGCCCCCTGTGTTGTAAAAAAAAAAAAAAACTATTGCACCGATTTTGATAAAATTTCTACAGGATTGATCTATAAGCATACTACTCGTATTTTAGATAAAAAAGTATTTTATAACCGACGGAGTTGAGTTTTAATAAACATAAAAAAAAAAACTAAATATAATAGAAAATCGTTTGTGCAAACTCGTGGTAGTTGATTCGCCACGATTGAGGTCGGTTTTCTACCGACTTCAGAAAAAGGAGGTCCTCAATTTAGGTTGTATTTTTTTTATGTTTGACACCTCATAACTCCGTTAGTTGTAAAACAGATTTCGAAAATACTTTTTTTGTCTGAAAGGATATACTTACAGATTGGTCCCGTGGAAATTTTATCAAAATCGTTTCTGGTTTAGTCACAAATGAAGTCGATTTTTTTTTGTGGGATACGATCTTTATTTATTTTACGGAACACAATATTAAACAAAAATTTGTTGTTATTAAATGCGAACTTCCAATTCCATGGCTAACAATATATCCTAACAGATCGACCTCCCTGTGGTCTCCTGGAAACTAAGCTAACCATCGTGCTGAATTCCAAGTGTATTCCTCACGACCTGCCTATTCATTCTAACCTATCCTCTCTCACTGGTGCCCCTCCAGCGTATACCGTTAGCGCAGGCGGGGCTACCACTCCATTATCATCCATTACAAAAAAACAGTTGCCTTTTCATCCTCACCTATCATCTCTCACTGGTGCCCCACTAGCGTATACTGGTGACGCAGGCGTGGTTACCATTTCATTACCACCCATAAAAAAACCATATGAGAAGCTCTAGACATCACGACCAGCCACACTCACTATATTTCGACACCATCAAATCTTAAGCACCGCAATCATTTCGCCTACTGAAGTTCGGTCTCTCTGCGTGTGGTGCAATTCAAAAGCGATTTTTTTTTATACAACTTAGAATGGCAAACAAGCTGCCGGCCCACCTGATGGAAAGTGGTAACCGTCGCTTACAGACATGAGCAGTACCATAGACAAAACAGAGTATACTGTTTCGCCCATGATAACCCCCATGCGTTGCCTTTCCTGAGGACTCAGGTGTTATTCCTCTGTACCCAGTAAATTCACGCCATATCCCACCCTTCAAACCGAAACACAGCCATGCAAACACAACTGCTTCACGGTTGAAACACGAATGGGACAAAGGTACCCAAACATCCATCTCATATGAACATTCTAGGTAATGTTGTTTTTTGCATAACTAGCTCTATGTATCTGTATATTTTTAAGTGGCCGGGCATTTTCAGTGTCAAATTTATTTAATCCTGCACATAAATTTATCGTATAAAAGTAAAAATTCGCATACTGCGTCTAGAAACAATGCAAACTAATGTATTGTTTTGAATTTACTTAACATAGAAGAAGGTTTTTTTTATACAACTTAGAATGGCAGTACAGACATGAGTAGTACCATGAACATAACAGAGTATACTGTTTCGCCCATGATACCCCCCCGTGCGTTGCCATTCCTGAGGACTCAGGTGTTATTCCTCTGTACCTTGTAAATTCAGTAGGTTCTTATTTCGGTAATTTTGTTAATTAATAAACATATTATTACCTTATAACTCCGTTAGTTGTAAACCGACTTAGAATTTTTTTACTATAAATTGTTTACTAATATTACTGCACTTAAATTATGCATGCCATTGTTTTGACAAAACACGCATGTTCATATTATTGTCATCTGTATGACGTGTTTTTTAAACAAATAAATCATCAATCATTACATCAGCTAACTATCCAATGCTGAACAAGGACCTCCCTTTGGGACGTTCTGCCAGTAGTTGCCACGCTTGGCAGGCGGGTTGGCAACCGCAGTTAGGCATTGGTGACGTTTTAAAAGTGACGTTACTACTCATCATCTCTCGACCGTTAAATAAATTATTATTATTATTCAAAGGAATCGTCTGTGAATTGTACCACACACCAATATAGTCCCAGGGCGCTCGTTGCCAGTCTCGGGCCGCTCATCGTCGCGCGACATTGCACAACATACAAACGCACTGTTGGGAACGAACACCCTGTATACAGGGTGATAAAGACATTTATTTTAATATAACAACTGTCGGTTTCAATCAATCAATTCGTGACGCGCTCGCGTCACAGCCGCTCATGACTAAGGATTACGAATCGGTCCCGAAACTAGTCGAGTTTTCTCTAGTTAAACCGGTAGTTGTTATATTAAAATATAATGTGCGCTTAAGAAACTTTTAACGATTAACACATAATTAAAGGTGTGTTCTAAAAATGAAACTAAATAATTTCTTTCCAAAAAAAACGTATTAAAAACGATAAAAAAAAATTGAGCTTATTTGATAGACGACACCAGGATACGTCGTGTTAGTATGGGAGGCGGAGTATTAATAGAGGTGTTGAGGGATCGCTTTTTGACTTATATTTCTTTGCGGAGGATGTTCAATCACATTAGTAGAACACTGGATCCTAATGATTATAACTAAATAATGCTTCACGGGGCGGGGAGACTATATTTGACTGATGCAACCATGCTTCATCATATCTGCCGTAAACTATCCACCGCTGAACATAGGCCTCTCCTTAATTGGGAGGGTTTTGCTTGTATTTGCCACGCTCGGCAGGCGGTTTGGTAAACGCAGTTTCGCTTTGGTGTTGTTTTAAGAGTGACGCGGCTCATTCGTCGACTATTAAGTTCCCTTAGTCGCCTCTCACGACAATCACGACAAAAGAAGGGGTGGTCCATTCTATGCCGGGACCAAATGACCAGTTAAATAGTGGTTAATGTAATTTAAAATGTAAAACTGTTTAACGCAAATAAACTCATTTCATTTCATGTATAAGCAAATATTTTTAATTTATATATAATACTAGCTTATACCCGCGACTTCGCCCGCGTAACCGGGATATGTTCACTGAACAGGGTAAAAAGAAGCCTATGACCTTCTCCACCCCATACAGTATGTGTATACCAAAATGCACAGTAATTAGTTAAATAATTAAAGCGCTAAAGCGCTATAAGGTCAGAAACAAACAAACTCACTTTCACATTTGTAATAAATATTAGTAAGGATGTATAAAAGTGTTACATGTATGTATGTATGTTAGACACACACACACTGTCATACGACGGCAAAAATGACCAGTAAACTGAATTAACAAGACTCTATTTCCGTTCAATTCTATTCGCATTCATTCTGAACGCAACTTTATCTATTCTACAGGTACCTACGTTGCATTCTACGAAGATTCGCGCAATATCTGTTACGACGGATCAGTATTCAAGATTGGTAACGAATTGGCCACATAGCTCGGAGAATCAGTTTTTTTTTCTTTCATTTTACAAACGGAATCAGTCATTGACTTAATCCACAGAGCATTTCACTATATTATTTAAGAGTCGGTACTGTCCGTAAATTGATGAAACTGGAATATGAATCTATGCAACCATCTGAAAGCAACTACACAATAAAATTAATAGGATGTAATATTGATTTATAATATGCTTCAGTCTAAAATAATTAAACTAAATTATTATCATAATGAATGTAAACTATGGGTATAGATATATATAACCTAAATAAAAAGATTTATTACTATTTATTGTAAAATTTTTCAAATTCAATTAATTGTTTACACAGATTTTATATAAACATTTTTCATTTATGCGAAGTGACGAAGAATTTATACATCGAGAACTTTTTAAAACGCTTAACATGCAATCTGCATTTGCTATTCATGGGTAAAGGATATCGAAGGATTTCAATCGTAGATTAAACGATGAAATGTTCCAGATGGATTATATTAAAAAAAAAAAAAAAAATTTAGAATACTAAATCTTGTCTATATATTTTTTCACATGGAACAATTTTTTCCACCACAATGAAAAACAAACATCTTACTCGTATTTAGTCAAGAAAAAGTAATATATGATAATTCTAGGAATAAACGTTACATAGATTGCAAATTTTTTATTCCAAAAATACGCAAAGGTATCGAGCAATATATACATGATACAAGCGAATTATGAATCTCGTTTCAAAAGTCGCTTCAAAGTTGCCAGTTGATACTTACAATAGATTACCTGATCCAGCTCGCATGTCGGAACCTCGATAAATATTAAATATATTATTAATAAATACAGAAAGGTCACGCGAACGTTAGCACTTTGCATACAAGTGAGGTCAAACAAAGATTGTAATGTGTACAAGGATTATATCCAATTAAAACAAAGAGGTAAAACTAAACAACAATTGCTATTTTAAATACTATTTACCTATTGGTAAATACAAATTGGTGTAAAATAAAATATACAGAATTGGTAGAAAAAAAGTAAATGGTAGGGTGGCTCTAGATAAGAATGGTGACAGTGTGAGGGTAGTCGGAGAGACAGCGCGGGCCGCCAGACGAAGACGCCCCTCACTTCAGTCCTCTCGTGACCGCGACGTGGTGCAATCCATGTCGAAACGTCAGCAATAAAGAAGCAGGCATGTAGGTACTATTTACCTGTAAAAGATTATGGAATGAGCTCACTGCCGAGGTTTTCCAAAGAGACTACAGCATGGGGTTCTTCAAAAGGGGGGTAAAGAGGTTTCTTCTGGGTTGGCAACGCGCGCGTAATACCTCTGGTATTGCAGGCGTTTATAGGCTACGGTAACCGCTTACCGTCAGGTGGGCCGTATGCTTGTTTGCCACCTCAGTGGTATAAAAAAAAGCTTTTCAAGTCCTGATTGTGTATTTAAAATATGTGTAAACAATGCGAAAGTTTAAAATTAAAAATTTAAATACCCCGCCAGTGTACACCGATAGCGCGAGCAGGGCGACCATTCCATTATCACCCATTAAAAAAAATAAGCACGATGGTTTCCAGGAAGAGCCACGTGGAGGTCGACCTATTAGGGTATATTGCTAGCAATTAGTCTTTTAGACCCATTACTAACAATCCCTTCCCCCCTATTTTTCCAGTTAAAACTAAAACCACAAATGTAAGTATGATTTACAACCGTTCTTTGTTGGCGGAACAGGCCCCAATAAGGACAGTCGTGACGGGGAGCGACCCTATCTGTCCGGTCCACTGATAAATGTGCACGGAGCGGACGGATTATGCGTTCATCTAATGCACACCGCTACACATATATGTATGTATATATAATAAACACACCACATATAAATATGCGTCTGTGTGAACGTAAAAGCATTAATAGAGGTTCCAACTTTTCTTCAGTGAATAATTCCGTTTTGGTGTTCAGGATTAATCCTAATGGGTTTTATGGGGATAGTGGCCATGGAACTAAACAATGATCCCCAAATAAGTTTATATTTAAAAGAAAATTGTTAGTTATGTATTGAATCTACAAGTTCAGTTCTAACTAGATATTACTTAATAGTTAAATAGATATATCACAAGATACCTATCATTGTGTTTATATATATATATTCGCTTCCTCCACATTCATCAATCTTTTCATACACGCTCGCCAGTTACAGGTACTTTTAATTTGGCCCTTCTTCAGCACGTCGCCTATTTGGTAGACTATTTGGTACTAGGGCGGCCCCTACCGATTTAATAGAAATTAATAGAAAAAATTATTTTTTTGTATAATGTATGTTCGCCACGACTGCCTTCAAACGCTGTTTTTACCTAACGGTTAACTGATAGAAAATACCATACGGCATTACTCGCCATTTGTACATTATTCTTTTTAGATTAAATAAATAAAGAGCGTAATCAAAATCTTAACATCGATCTTATAAACGATCAAAAAATATTTTGAAATATCTATTATACATTCACTGGAGAATGTTATTCAGACTATCAATGGGCTAGGTATGGAGTTACCAAGTAAAAAAACCAGATTGAAAGTAAAACCTATCACTTGCAAAAATAATCATCGAAATCGATTGTTCGATACTTGTTGAATTCAACAAATGTTTAAAAATATCCCTTAAATATACGCCAAGCTAAATCCATGTCAGTAGCCACACCTTCCTTTAATAAAGCCCCGATTTGCCACGCATGGAAAATCTAGGTTAAACCCAAATGTCAGCTGTAGGCACTATTAAATCCCGTGTTATACGCTACAAGTCACGAGAGACGTGCATCTACTCCGACCGTTTGATGGCAATTGACGATCTCAGAGGAGAGAACGTCAAGATTGCCATATATTACTTTTGATATTTACCCAAATGTCAAATATTTTCCCCCCCAAATTGGTATAATTCCTCTCAGTGGTAGTCAATTTCTAGCTGTTGTTGATTTTTCATGATCTTTGTTCTCGTGGCATAAGTAACTACAAAGTAAACGACAAAAAAATAACTTTTCTCACCTTTTATTTTGCTACCTACATTGTATTATTTATATTGCATTTATATACCCTAATGCGCACTTATCGAACATAATGGTCGAATAATGGGCAGCAGCGTCCCTCTTAAAACATCACCAGGGCCTAACTGCAGTCGCCAAGCGTGGCAACTACTGGCAAAGTCTCTCAAAGTTGGCGGATATTATCACCATCATGCAGAATTATGAATACGAAAACTGTCTAAAACAAATTTACCCAAATTTCTCCAAGCCCATTGAACTTTCCCTCAAATTCTTCTCCAAGAATTTCATTTGTCCAAAAATTCGCGAACACAAAATTTTACCCAAAATTACGAAAAAATACCCAACCATCGCAACGCTGGAGAGCGGCATTAGCTTCTGGGTTCACAGCGCATGCGTCCTGCTTTCTAGACCTGTGTAACCTACCAAATTATATTTTCTTTTCGAATATATCAGACAGGCAAATTTCAACTTTACGGGGTTGGTAATAGAGACCTTCAGAATTTGACGGTCTCTTGTCGCGGTGTGCAAAATTAGGGTATTTTGAACTTGAGCGTCAACATACGTTTTGAAGTGTTTACGTAGAATCTTGCTGGTAGGTAGCTTAGTGTGGGTACAGATACTGAGATAAACTGTATTTGTATATATTTTTTTTTATGGGTGAAAATGGTATGGTAACCCCGCCTGCGCTAACGGGATACGCTGGCGGGGCATCAGTGAAGGGTGATAGATGAGAATGAAAACAGGCCAGTTAGCCCATCATGATGAATTCATCAGGAATTAATCATGATAGTTTCCAGGGGGAACCGCGAGGAGGTCGACCTCGTTGGGCATATTGCTAGCAATGGGATTCTCAGTCTCCATTACTAACAATCCCTTTCTCCCCCTTTGTATAGATATTGGGATGAAATTAATCCGTTAAATAATGATTACGTATAAATATGTATACTAGCTGGGGGAAAGGAATTAAGGGAGTAATGGAATCGAACAGCCTCAATGTTAGCAATAAACCCTAACCTTCACCTTCACACGGTTACTCTTGGAAATTATCGTGGTTAACTATTAATTATTAACTGACCTACTTTCATCCTTACCTATCGTCTCTCACTGGTACCTCGCCAGCGTGTTCCGATAGCGCAGGCGGGGTTACAATTTTATCTTAAAAGATTTTATGTTTAAAAATCCATTGTTAGCAATATAGCCTATCAGGTCGACCTCCACGCGGTCCCCCCTGGAATTACAGGTGTATACATTACAAAAACAATACAAATGAAATGAAAACGTCCTACTTATTTCTTAATAAATCCAAAATTTTTATTCAAATAGGCTTTGTACGCAAGACACTTTTAAATCTTCATTTCTTATGAATCTACTGCAAGGTTTAGAATGTTATTGTCTATAGAGAAGAATCCGCAAGTAATTCAACAGTTATACTTTTCAAATCTCTGTTAATATTATGGATTCGTACATTTATTTCAATGTACTATCTCTAAAATTACATGGTCGTTAAAAAGCCCGCGCATGATCGACTAATGTTTGTTATTCAAGTAATCAAGTTTAAAAAGACAAGATGGTTAAAAATATATATATAATACCATTATCATCATACCAGCCTGTCCACTGTTGAGCATAGATCTCCCCCTATTAGGGGGTTTTGCCAGTAGTTGCCACGTTTGGCTTGCGAGTTGGCAATCACAGTTAGAATTTGGTGATGTTTTGGGGACGCTGCTACCCATCCCTCAACCATTTAGTCGTCTCTTACGACAACCACGGGAAAGGAAGAGGTTGCCCAAACTATGCCGGGACTATACCACGATATATATATTATTTATTTATATATTTATTCACAATTTGTGTTTGTTTGTTGTATTTACATTATTTTCACCGGTACCCTTCCTGAACTGGATTACCCAAATTAAATTATTTTCTCTCTAACTACACTGGGTTGACTGGAAGAGACCTCTTTCAGAGATAAGCCCTCCCTTGCTAACAAGTTGTTAAACTAATCGCTATGTGTATTGTCCAAGTGCAATAACGAATATATATATATATATATATATATATATATATATATATATATATATATATATATATAATACATACGTCTATGTTCTTTTTTTATCTCGTAGTTCATACTTATAACTTAAGCAACCCAGACAATAAAGATGACCTTGTAAAGCGACTCATATCACAAATACCTGCAACCGCGCGTAACAAAGTCACATGAATGAATGAATGGAATTCCTTATTATTAACAAGTTGTGTCTACAAATGTTAAACACATTCAAAAATATTTACATGCAAATTGCATGCCCGTTCAGTATCCTGAGCGCGTCTGCACGTTACTAGCTGGCCGCAAGTGGTTATTATTGATCGCTATCAAATACTAGGTACT